CAGCAACTATTTAGTGATCTGCAGCTAGGAGATAGGATGCCCTCAGCCTTGTTGCGCGAAATGCAACAGCTCATCGGCACGTCCAACATGGACGTAGGGATTCTCCGCGAGCTGTGGATGCAACGCCTTCCTGAAAGCACACAGGCTATCCTTGCAGTAGCAAGTGACTTGCCCATCACAGCAATTGCAGATCTAGCAGACCGCGTCATTGAACGGCACCAACCAGAGACTGAAACCAAAGCACCCAAGCAGCTTTGCGCTGGCGCAACCACAACGACAGGCGCGACTAGCCCTCCGTCGGCAATAGACGCATTATCATTGCAGATAGCGTCGCTTCAGCGCCAGATCAAAGAACTCACCTTAAAACGTAAGCACCGCAACCGCTCTGGATCATCGCACCGTCGCACAAGACCTGATGCCTCAGGTTACTGCTTTTACCACTCGCGTTTCGGTACTAAAGCCCGTAAGTGCGTACAGCCGTGTAGCTACTCCGCTATAGATGATCCGCCACGCCGGGCTGTAGTGGCCACGAACGTCGTCAAAGCCCAAAGTCGTCTCATCTACATTAGGGATTATGACTCCGATACCCAGTTCTTAGTTGATACCGGGGCGGAAGTCAGCGTCATTCCCCCTATGCCAGGTGAGCCTACCGCTTCTCTGTCGACAAGCCTCAGTGCCGCCAATGGCACGCCAATTGCCACCTATGGTCATCGGTCACTTACCCTGGACCTAGGTCTTCGGCGCACGTTCCGCTGGGTATTCACCGTCGCTGCAGTCCCCTTTGCCATCATCGGCATTGACTTTCTCAGGCATTTCGACCTCTTGGTCGATGCGAAACGCCAGATGATAGTCGACACTGCAACAAAACTCAGCGTACGTGGCAGCACGGCCGATGTGCCATCTATATCCCCGGTCTATTCATTTCCCCAGACCTCACCAGACCACGCTAATCTCTTTTCTCAGTATCCCAAGCTCGTTCAGCCAATGAACGCAGCTTTGCCCGTGGCAGCTCAAGTCACGCACCACATACGGACGAATGGCCCACCTGTGTCATGCCGTCCACGCCGACTATCGCCTGAGAAACTAAAGGTAGCTAGGGCGGAGTTTGAGCACATGCTTGAACTTGGAATAATCCGCCCTTCTGATAGCCCTTGGTCCTCGCCCCTGCAGATGGTACCTAAGAAATCTGGTGACTGGCGCCCTTGCGGTGATTACCGCGCACTCAATCGCCTAACCGTCCCAGATAGGTATCCCATCCCACACATGCAGGACCTTACCGCATGCCTCACAGGTAAGACGATCTTCAGCAAGATCGATCTGGTTCGCGCCTATCACCAGATACCTGTGGAAGACAATGACATTCCTAAAACAGCCGTCATTACTCCTTTCGGTTTGTTTGAATTTTTAAGGATGCCATTTGGACTGTGCAACGCCGCACAAACTTTCCAACGCTTCATCCACGATGTTACTCGTGGCCTTGACTTCGCATATTCCTACCTCGATGATATCTTAGTAGCCAGTTCATCGGAACAAGAGCACCTCGAGCACCTTCGAGCTCTCTTCCAGCGCTTGACCCAACACGGTGTCACAGTCAACCCGACTAAGTGCGAACTCGGCAAATCAACGGTAGAATTCCTAGGCCACCTCGTTTCATCGTCTGGTATCGAAGTCCTTCCTGACAAGATCCAGGCAATCAAGGACTTCCCAGCTCCGACTTTCTTCAAGCACCTCCGTCGATTTTGTGGTTTGGTCAACTACTATCGACGCTTCATTCCGCGCTGCGCTCAGCTCATGCAGCCACTGACTGACCTACTCAGAGGAAATGAACGTAAGTTCGCCTTCCCTGACACAGCACAGGCAGCCTTCGCCGAGCTCAAGGATGCTATCTCCAACATAGCCCTCCTCGCTCATTCGGAATCGACTGCACCTCTTTCTATTACGACTGATGCCTCAGACGTCGCGGTAGGAGCCGTCCTCCAACAACACGTTGGTGGGCGCTGGCAACCCCTTGGGTTCTTCTCCAAGCGCCTGCAGCCAGCGGAATCCCGCTACAGCACGTTTGGCAGAGAACTGCTCGCCATTTACCTAGCAATACGTCACTTCCGGCACACACTTGAAGGCCGCGCTTTCACGGTCTACACTGACCACAAGCCCCTTGTATTTGCCTTCAACTCTGCTAGCGACAAATACTCACCACGGGAAACAAGACACCTAGACTTTGTCACGCAGTTCACTGCTGACATACGTCATGTCTCAGGTGTCGACAATCCTGTCGCCGACGCTCTCTCACGCGTCAATCTCACCCTCCAGTCTTTGCCTACCGTCGACCTTGCCGCAATGGCATCGGCTCAGGCTCAAGACGAAGACATACAGCGCACTCTGCAGTCCACTTCGCTGCATGTGCAACCTGTTCCTCTCCAAACCACGGAAGGAACCATCCTCTGTGACACGTCCACAGGTTGTCCTAGACCTCTCGTGCCCGTCTCCTTCAGACGCACAGTCTTTGACGCACTGCACTCACTGTCACATCCCGGTATCCGTGCATCTTTGAAACTGGTCACCGAACGTTTCGTTTGGCCACGCGTAAACAAAGATGTTCGTACCTGGGCTCGCGCCTGCCTTCACTGCCAGCGCATGCGTTCACTACGCCCGACCCCGCCCCGTGAGCCGACTAGAGATGTACAAATGCACAGCGGACTCTCTACCTGCACTCACGTCTTCCTCCGCACCGACGCAGTGCGGCGCCCTCTCCAGCCTCCCTACACTGGCCCTTTCAGAGTTCTGCAACGGACTCCGAAACATTTTACTATAGACCAGAATGGTCATCGAACAACGGTGTCCATCGACCGACTCAAAGTGGCTTTCTTTGACGAGCCACTTGCAGCCCATCCTGATGCTCTCCCACAAGCACCCGCACCTGTGGTGACTTCCCGAGCACTGGATAACCCGGATCCCTCCGTACCCCTTGACCCGCAACCTATCCCGCCGCAACCCCAGGCAACCGACCGACGCGGTAGACAGGTCAAACGTCCGGTCCGTTTTTCTGATTTTGTAAGCGTTTGCTATTTCCATTAACACGCCTTTTTCGTATTTAATGGTTATCCTGCGTCTCACCCACAAACGTTTTGCAAAATCGACAAAAAAACCCAAAACATTTTGAAAAACCTAAAAAGCGTATTTGCTTTTATCATACATGCCATGTCCCCTCTCCGGCGTCAAGCCACTTCCCAGACCCTTGCCAACCCCCTCTGAGTTCTACCTTCCAGAAACTCAACCGCCGGAACTGCCCAGGCAACCCTCAAGTGACTCGCCAACCGGCTCAACGCAACCCTGGAGTGACTCGCCAGCAGTCCCACAGCCCCCTTCCTCACCCAAGGAACAGACAGTCGCCCTCGACCGCAGACACCCACGAACGGATTGGTCCCCAAACGCCGCCTAGGCATTGCCAACGAGGACGCCTGCATTTCTTCGTGGGACGAGGATGGCCGGATTTCTCCGAGGGACGAGGATGTCTGCATTTCTTCGTGGGACGAGGACCGTGGACTAAAGTGCGGTGGGGGGAGTGACACCTCCCAAGCGCACCGTCGGGTCTGCAGCAATGGGAAGGTCCTGTCGGCCTTTTTTCTGGACTAGCCAGTTTTTTTTGCAGTCCGACCAGCCCGCCCCGACGGCCCACCGATGATGCACTCTGGTCCACACGATCGTCATAAATAAAACTAACAAAAGCCTGGACCCAGCGAAATCTGCTACACCCCACTTTGGAAGCTATTCTCAAGCCCCTGCAAACATTCGCATCCACCCTCACCTTCCGTTCCCCCCACTAACAGCTCCATCGAAGGCTTCCATCCTTCAGCCTTCTAGGGGGAGGCCCTTGTAGTGCAACTGAAAACATGCTCTTTCAGTATCTTATAACATTGGATTTTATGGTTGTTTTAACCTTCGAAACGTCCATTTGTTTAACTGACTGCACATCCATGGTCACAAACCGTTTTGGTGAGTTCCTCGCTGCACGTTTCTCGCTCTCTCTGATTCGCTTCCTATTCTTGTAGCCTGCACAATACACGTTGGGTTCAGTCTCCTCCGACTTCTATACTATCGTACTTGACACGTCTTACGTGTCATTGCTTACCGACTAGTATCCCAGGTTCCGCCCAACAAACTTTTCCATCCTCCAATGTTGACATAATGTTATGTGCTTCGCCGCAATCTTTTGTATTATCGTGCATTTGAATGACTTACCGTTCACTTTATCCTCCAATTTCTTCTTACGCCATTCTTACCTCACGTAACCGATACAACGGGGACTGCAAGTGCAGGAAACACGGGCATCGACCCGTTGACCAGGGTGTGGATCGGGTGTTTCGTGTTATATCCTTCATGTACTCCTCGCACGTTAACATTTACTATCTAGATGTACACCACAATAAGCGCCACACAAAGGAATTTCTTATGGCTCTAGGTTTAAGTGTATCTGTAAGAATGACACAAAGAAATCCCTAATAAAATTTAAATTTCATGGGTTCCCAAAAACAGTTTCTTTAGGTGGTTTCTATTATACGTACATTAATTATATATTCTGAATTAATAATTCATAGAAAAATGTTGAGGAATGGCTTTGAAGGCATGGTATACCTAAAGTTTGTGCATGTAGGGTACCAAATCGCATTTGGAACGTCCTTGCGTCGGGCACACCATGAAGTGCTACCAGCAAGTTTAAATGTAGAATTCATTTTGTGGCCTACCTTATCAAAAAAGTTAAAAACCTTTACAGTATATCAGGTTAGCTGAACATTTACTAAACGTGTCATTGTTTTATCCATTCAAGGAAACTCAGTATAAAAACATGGCTACAGTCGCTTAAACTAGTTCCCTTGCCTCTTGTTAAATCTGTTTTATGTATGCTTATAGTTATAGTATTACATGTAAAATTAGTTTCTACAATTGAAGGGATTAAAGGGTTATGAGTTTATTACAATTAGGCTTCCTTCGTAAGTTGGGTTACTGGTCGGCCATTTTGGACCGAAGTGTGTTACCGTCGTGTCTCCGCTGCCGCACTTTTCGTGCATTTACTTGGTTATCTTACATTGTCATCTACTTCTGAGTCATTGACAGCTTTTAACTGTCTGCGTATTATCATTTTTTGATGGAGATAAGTGACTGCCACGCTGATGTTTGTGGGGACGGGTTCGAGAAATCCCGAAGGTTAGTTCTGTCCACGTGTCGCAGTCTGCAGTTCACCACGTTCTGTTGTACGCGCTCTTGGCGCTCTTTTTTGTAATCACTTATTTTTATATATATATATCGCTTTTTGGTTATCGTAACTTATCTTAATGTTTCCATTATTTAAATACGCAGAATTTCAGATGGCGGTATCTCTGTTAACCATGATCACCTGGAACATGAGAAACGTGTCCGTCGTGAGATCGCAAACAGTAACGAGCGACGACGTATGCAGAGTATAAACGCGGGTTTCGATTCCTTAAGGGACCTCCTACCACCTATACAGGACGGGGAGAAGATGAGCAAAGTGAGCCTTTACATACCAAATATCATGTTTAGGCCACTATATTACAACTCACCGCGGAATACATTCAGAGTCTGCTCAATCGTGTCAGTCTGTTAGAAAATGAGGTTGCGGTTTACCGTCGGACGACTGGGATTCAACCGACTACAATCATACCTGATTTTCCAATAGAGTTCAGCGTTTGCCGCAAACGTAAACAGGAGGAAAAGAGTATGCGTTTTTTCTTTTCTGTCATTTCGCTTTTTTAGAGAAACGTTCTAGTTGCCCTCGCTCCAGACGTAGGCGTGTCGCTCAAGATTCTGCGTACAATGTTTCCCGTTCGTATCTCTCCCATTGCTCACCAGTCAGCAATGATATCCGGCAAACTTCTCCCTCCACTTCCTGTAACAGCAGTGCATCCGTATCACCTACTTCTCCTATTCCTGATGGAACAAGCAGCACTTCTGCTCGATTGGAGCACTTGGTAATGGCGATTGAACAGATTGAAGGTGGCCGCGCTCTTCATATGTCTGGCACCGAAAGTCAGGATGGTCTCTCGGCTGATGAACAGTCTCCTGCGTTTTCTGATGAACCATACTGGCAGAGTCCACAAGGTCTCCACATTTGTAGCTACCATGATACACAAGATTCCAACCTCAAACCTCAGACCAGCTTTACTGACATTCTCATGCTAACTCCTGTTTCGGACGTTGCAAACGTCAGCCTCCCGGTAAACGAAGCTAATTCTCACAACCGGAACACTACGGATTATCCAGTTGTGTCCAAGCTCCTCAATCGTCCCATACCTCACAAGTACCTACATAGACCGCAGGTTGTTGTTAACAGTTCTCATTAGGGTGTGGGGTTCTTAATGGTTTCTGCAGTTCTTCGTCTTGTTTTGTGGTGGATGAAATCATGAGCTTTCGATGTACATATAGTTTGAACTTGCTTCTCCGGCCTTGCTTACATTTTTTGATTTTTCTACTCCCGGTATCCTGTTACCAAACTCGATCGTTATGCTGCGACCACAGCCAGTTCCGAAATCCCTGTGCGAACTCCACATCTCAGCTTTCTTTCATATCGCCGCAGTGACAGGTTTGACTATCGTGTTCATTGAGTTATCACTACCGGTCTAGTTAGATGTTATACTGTTTCGCGTTCCAAGTAAATTTTGCGATTAAATTAGCGGCACTTAACATTGGTTGTTTACTGCTCTTTTTTCAGTCTTGCATCTCATCTTAGATGTGAATGGCAGGCCACCCTTCTCATTGCGATATGATTTCTAGCGCACGACCCACGCACTATAAGCCTGTATCGTCGGACAAATTGCTGCTGCTCTGATCGTCATATACTATGATCAACGGGGCTCTGTGCTGCATCGAACTGAGTGGATTAGGTTGAGGTTGCTACTTCATAGATCTTCCCCTCTTACTCTACCTTATCATCTGTAGCTTCATTCCTTCACCCCCGTTTTTCAGCCTTACTACTCTTGGCCCTCTCCATCTTGACACGATAGTCACTTTTTTCTATTTTCGACTCACAGCGGTTCAGTCAACAAATATATCCAACCAAGCGTACAACCTTTCATCTGTTTCCACTTAGAACGCTTGATTTTTGCTAATACTGGAATACCTCAACCTGTGCACTTTGTCACCGATCGGTCGACAAGCAGCATTTGCCCAACACCAAGACCCTGTCGATCCATATCTGCTGCTTATCAGAAACCTTGCAAAACTACAACTGTGTGCTAATTGTGTGATCGTCTTCATGTGATACTGGCGGCAATTTTTCGCCTGCTGTCCACAGATAATGCAGCTTCGAATGCCGGTAAGCAGATGTGGATTGCTCTGAGCTCCCGGGCCGAAGTTGCTACGGTAGGCTGGGTCCTGATCCGTAGCCAGGTATACTTATTCAAAACTTGGGAGTAGTGCGTGGCCAGTAGGTATCTGTCATTGCAGCCTAGTAGCTGAGCCGAAAAGTAAGGGCCCTAAAACCGGGTCCTACGGAACTCCGCTAAGAGAAACTTGCCAAAGCGAGACTGCGCTCCACGCGTACACAGTTGTCCTCCAGAAAAGCAGAGGCCCATTTAAGAGCACAACCAGATTATCCTATAAGACTTCGACTTTAGTCAGGGTCCTAAGTGGTGGGCAGTATCAAGAGCTCTCGAGAAGTCAACAAAGCACGTCATTGGCGTCACCCCTGTCTACTACTTCAGTCCAGCTTCCATGAGCTACAATTCAATTTCTCATCCACGAACATCATCTGCGGAATCAATGTTGTGCAGCACTGAGAGGGTTAAATATTTCAGGTGGTTCTTCACCGAACCCTTCATCAGTTTTTCAAACAACTTGTCTACTGCGCTTGTTAAACTGACAGCTCGGTAGTTCGTGGGCAGAGTACTGTCACCGCCTTTAAAAATCGAACTGATGATTGCCTCCTTCCATTCCCATGGTATGACACACCTGTCGAGTGCTTTTGTAAACACGCATGCAAAAGAACCACGTAGTTCAGCGGCCGATTCATGCAACAGCTTCTGATCAATTGAATCGGCCAAACACCTTAGAAGGGTTTAATCCTTGCAATAGCCCGTCGATAGCTTTCGTAGTTGCTTCTTGATGAATCCTCTTTGTAAGTTCGCCAACACATTCCGCTTCCTTAGCAGATGTTTACCCGTGAAATCCATCCAGGGAGACTGCGCTCGTGTCTCTTTTCTCGTCATGTGTGGGATGTGGGAGCAGAGACCTCAGTGAAGTATGCCTTAGAATCATCCCAAGTTTACTAACCAGTGTCGCCCACGGAGATCACACAATGCAGAACTGAAGCTTTGGCTCGAATTTCATTCAAGCCTGCCAAATATTACTGTAATTGTGATCTGAGAGGAGGGGCTACAAACGATGGTAAACAGGGCTTCAACGCTTTGACCCAGCGACTTAACACTATAGGTCCTCAATACATTCACTTTACAGCTCAAATAAAGAGCAAAGCCCACACTTTGACGGCCAAAGGAGTAATCACATATAAGCAGCACGTAGTCAGTCGAACAAACATCACCGTCTGTGATATCTGGGATCAGCCACGTCTCAGTGAAAGCAGGTATAGTGGAACGAGATTTGTCTACAAGTAGACCCACGTCCTGTACTTTATCTCTTCGGCTACGCACATTGCTAAGGACTACCTGATAGATTTCGGCACGACCAGTCCTGGCTTCTCGTAGCGCGCAAATTGATCTCCGGCTGACCACCTGAAAATCTACAAGACGCGTTGCTCACTAGCCGCCGCTTGTTTTCGAGGTCATTGATGGCTTCCAAAGAACGGGATAGAAAGCTGACTTCTGCACCGGTGTCAGCCAAGAAGTAAAGCTTGGTTGTTGAGTCGAATACATATAGGCGATGGCTGATAATTTGGCCAGCGGCTGCCGTTGCCATAACTGACTGGCTTTGTCGTTTCTCGACGGGGGAATTAAAAAGGCGAGGTTGGTAATGCCCTTGTCGACATTACGTGCAGCGTCTCCGAAACGTTAGTGGTACTAACTATACCGACGCGAAGGTCGTGTACGAGTTTACTACGGTGACTGGTTCTAGCAAATGTCTGCGATGGGACATGATCATGTCTAAGGCGAGACAGACTGATCTCTCGATAATAGGATCAAGCAACGTGGTTCTATTGGAGTTGGCAGTACTTGTCTCGATTACGTGAGTTACAGAACTTTTAATGGAACGCTCGTGCACTTTATCATCTGTTTCTGCCAGCTTGTCCAGATGTAGGTTATCAGCGAGAACAGCTAGGATAGCCGTTGTATTCGTAGGGAAATAATTACTACACACTTGGCGGAGAACGGAATCGTCCAAGATGGAATATCCGAAAAGCGGACACGAATGTCGAAGAAGCTGGGACGACATTCTGTCTCCGATACCGACGTCAGAAAGTAGCGGTAGTGTGCTTTAAATTCACTGCCTTAAGTTTGTCATGGAGTAAATCTAAGGACGTATGATAGAGAATTTCCATGGCTTGGGAGCAATATTGTGTGGTAAATGAGCAGTCACATATGAAAACATGGAGAATTGCGATGTGATCGTGCGAAGATGGAAAACGGCTTCTAATTGTGCTTACCACACTAGTGAGTTAGGAACGTCGGATTAAGGTGATGTGACGCCAAAAAAATTTCCCGATTCGTCGACATTACGCGCGTGGTCAGACACTATGCAAAGAAATCGTATTATACACAAAAGAAATGACCATGCGGCGCCACAATTTGTATGGAACTACTAAATCACCAGCATCAGTACACATTAGCCGAGGTTAAAAAACACTTCAGCTAATGTGCCGCGATGTAAATAAGATAGGCAGTTAAACAAAACTGACTAAAAAGGCTATTACGAAACTGGCATAATGCTATCACATTATGCGTAAGTTTTGAGATTGTTGTTGGAGAGGGAAGCTAATGGGGAGGGGAGGGAGGAAGACATGACATGAAAGCCACTGAGGTCGACACTTTGCCATGTCAGTTAGTGTACCCAACCAAACGTGTTCATTGTCCTTCGGTCCCCAGCTCGGCAGTCGGGAAACACCAACCGACGCTAAGTTCGAAGTGAGGGACTTATTTCCTCTTGACCAACTCATCGCTTGGCCTCCCCTCTTATTTCATCCACAACCCTGGTGCTCAAACAACGCACGTTGCTGGAGTCGGTGGTCTGGTATGCGCATGACCTGGCCTATCCATCAGAACCTGGTGCGTGATATAATGGTACCGGACGGTTCACTAACTCTTCCTGCACCACATGCGCGGTGCCGAACACGCTCATTGCTCACGCGGTGCTCCCACCGGACATGATCTTTGTTGCGAAGGCAACGATTATCGAACGTAATAACCTGCTTTAAGTCCGTCAACTTGAGGGGCCAGGTTTCACAACCGTACAGGAGGGTCGAACGGGCGGCTGCATGGGAAACTCTGTCCTTCTAGCATGAGAGTAATGTCACGCCGGCGCCCCAGGTGGTGGAGATGGTCAAAAGCGACTCGAGCTTTTGCTGTACGGTTTGTCATCCCATCTTCAATTTCGCCGACCGTGATATAGCTACCTAGATGCTTGAATTTCTCGGCGGCGCTGGGTCCCTGCCAAACCTGGAGAAGAACTTTGCATTTCTACGGTGCAGAGCATAGCCCGAAATCACTGACGACTAATGTTAACTTGTCCAATGCCGCTTGGCGCGTTTGAAAGCTGTCACAAATAAGGGCGATGTCGTCGGCGTTCTCCAAGTCAACAAATCGATCACCTTGGAGTAACTCCACGTCTTGCAGATCTTGTTCAGTGAACGCAGTCTCCATGACTTCATCAATGGCGAAGAGGAAAGATGGGAACGGGCAACCTTGTCTCACGCCGCTGGGAATATTGAAGGGCGGTTAAAGTTTGTCGTAAACCATTTACCCGAACTATGCACGTACAGCATTCTTATGACCTTATTTCTCGAGCACGCCTTTCCTAAGAAGACAATCCCAAAGAGCACATCGATCAACAGAATCAAAGGCCCCTTTGATGTCTAAAAACACTACTACAGTGGGCCGCCAGTAAACATGGCGGTGCTCCAGCAACTGACGTGAAGTGAATATGGGGTCAATGCAACCTCGTTTTCGACGAAATCCGGTCTACTCTTCGCGCATCTGACTTTCACGGATATCAGCCAGTCTATGGAGGAAAGTTATCTCGAGACATTGGAGATCAGACTGATTCCTCTATGACTACTGCATTCTGAACGGGAGCATTCCTTGAAATTTTGACTAACAGAGCGGCCGCAGTCTTTTGGGATAGTCTCCTGCTTCCATAGATTCACTAAACTTATGTAACTTGTCCAAAAGAGTGGGTCCCCCAAATTTAGAAGCCGGATGAAGTCCGTCTCCTCCAGCGGCCTTGTTTTGTTTCAGCAGTCCGATCTCGTCCGATTTTCGCGCGTTAAATATTATCAAGTCTGTCAAGAAAAGGTTCACTTTACGCACACAAACTCAGTTTAGCGTCGGACGATGGCAGAGCGCTAATTGTAACTTCAGGTAAAACGTTTGTATATTTTTGACAGTCGATCAGACAGGCAGCCGAGCGCCTACTTCATAACGACACTGGCGGAAAGCCAGACAAAACCGTCCGATGTCGAGCTTGGATAATTTGTGTATATCGGCACAAGGTATGCATAGACTGCAGCTAAAT